CCTGGCAACAGAGGGAAACTCCGTCAAAAACAAACACACACCCCTATTTAAGTAGCTAAGTTGACTTTTGGTATTTCATGCTTCTTTTTGGTGGGGGCTTGGAGGCATGGGCATGACTTGCTCTGTCGCCCAGGCTAGAGTGCCATGGCATGATCTCAACCTCTTGGGCTCAAGGGATCCTCCCACCTCAGTCCCTCAAGTAGCTGGGACTACAGGCATGTGCCACCACACCTGGCCAATTTTTGTATTCTTTGTAGAGACAGGGTTTCACCACGTTGCCCACGCTGATCTCGGACTCTTAGGCTTGGGGGATCTGCGCACCTCAGCCCCGCAAAGTGCTGGGATTACAGGTGTGAGCCACCATGCCTAGCCTTTCATGCTTCATAAGTAACAAGAAAATATGATAGAAGAAAGGTAGGATTATATAATATCAAAAAATAAATGGGCAGGCTGGCTATGACAAAGGCCAAAACAAAGTATGATATACCAGCTGACATTTATTATTCCTACCCAACCCTTACCCTATCACTCTTCAAGACATATGCCCAGATACACACAGAAAGCTAATAGCATCACTTTGAGGAGTTTAATCATAACCCATCAACAGAAGAACCTACTGCACAGGCAACACCAGAATGAGTGTATTATTAGGGTTGCTAATCACTAAAATCTCAAGATCAGGTTTCTGGGCACATCTTGCTACATCTGCGCGGGTCCCAGATGGTATGCAAACCAAGTTTGGAGCCTGATTCTTCACAACAGGCTGTTCCTGCAATATCACAAAGGTTGCAACAGAATTGTGCAACAAGAGCAAGAATACTCTGCATGCAGTCTCCTCTAGCACAGTCCTGCTCCTGACTCTGCAGGTCTGAAAAAAGGTTTTGGTCAACTTCTGGGTCCCAGAAACAAGGCTATTATTGCATAGAACACCTGAAGGTGCCTAGCTTTACTCCTTATAGAGAAGGACTAGTCATAATATACAACATACTTCCCCTTCCACCAGAATTGACTGGGAAAGGGTACCTTGGAACTTTCTGGAGTGAGGGCAGAACTCTAATATCTTGATGGGAAGAGTGTGGGTTACATGGGTGTATACATTTGTTAAAACTTAGAGTTGTTTTAAGATTCATACATTTCACCATATATAAATTTTACCTAGAAAAAAAGAACTATGCACAAATAGGAACTCTAGGTTCTAGGTTTATTTTCTGTAGTAGTATGGGCTAGCAATTTTGAAACTACTTCCTGTGTATTCTAGACTTCAGCAAGTAAGTAAATATATCCAGGATAGGGCTGGGCGCAGTGGCTCACACCTGTAATCCCAGCACTTTGGGAGGCCGAGGTGGGCACATCACGAGGTCAGCAGTTAGAGACCAGCCTGAGCCAACAGAATGAAACCCTGTCTCTACTAAAAATACAACAAATTAGCCAGGCATGGCGGCGAGCGCCTGTAATCCCAGCTATTTGGGGAGCTGTGGCAGGAGAATCACTTGAACCTGGGAGGCGGATGGAGGTTGCAGTGAGCCAAGATCGCAGGTTTCTCACTGTTGAAGGTAGTCAGAAATATGGAAAACGAAAAAGTAGCATCACCAAAAGGGATATAATATATATAACTCCCGACATGAGGAGACAGCATCACTTCTTTGGTATTCCCACCAAAAATTCATAACCTGCATCGAATCATAGGGGAACATCAGACAAATCCACATTGAGGGAAATTCTACAAAAATAACTGGCAAAATATCAAAACATCAAAGAAAGACAAAGGAAGATGAAGTAACTTTTCCAGATTGAAGGAAGCCAGAGACACGACAACTAAATGCGATGTTTGATCCTCAACTGGATCCTGGTCTGGGAGGAAAAAACCTATAATGAACATTAACTGGTATAAACAACAACACTGAATACACAGACTGTGGATTAGAAAATAGTATTGTGCAAACATTAAACTGCCTGAATTTGATAAGGGTAAAAGGGTATTGTGTTTAGGTAAGAGAATGTCTTTGTTCTTTGGAATTTACATTGAAGCATTCAGTTATAAAGGATCACAATGTCTCCAACTTACTCTCAAAATTTCAAGAAAAAAATGGGGGAGGGGAAGGGAAGGAGGAGGGATTGGAGGAGGACAGCACATGTGCATGGGGCAAAATGTTAACAATGGATGAATGTAGGTAAAGTGCATACTGGAGTTGCTTGTACTATTCTTGCAATGTTTCTATTAAGCTTAAAATTGTATCAAATAGAAAGTTACCCAAAAATACTCTACTGCCAAAAAATATTTAGGTGAGAGTCTAACAATAACAAAGTAATTTAATGTACTACAGGAAATTCTTCCAGGAATATTGATTTTAAAAATTGTACTTTTCCCTCTGGTAGTAATGCCACAATACTCTAGTTAGCTTGGAATTTCTTTGTAGAAGTAAAGAGCAACTCACATAAACTTCAAATAAGGTCTTTTGAAATTTCATTGACAAATACCATCTGTTTAGAAAGTTCTGCAAGACAGTAAGTAGAAACTGGAATGAAAGTGACTCCTCACCACCCACCTCTCCCCACCATTCTTCAGTATTTTTCCCCTAAGATGGAACAATTCACCTTCTTATGTGCCAACCTAAGATCAAATAGGATAAGAAATGATTTGTGGGTAAATGTTCCAACTTTTCTGCTTTAGAAGCAAAGCACTGTATTCTTCCCCATCTCAGGCTACGTAGAGAGCTCTCGCTCGTGTGTACGTGTGCTCTCTCTCTCTCTCTATATATATGTATGTATATAATGGTATTGCTTTGTTTTTAATAAATAAGGTAATGAACAAGTGTTTTACTATCCAGCAGAACTTATTCTACTTCCCCAATCTGTCTCTATTTGTGGTTAAATCAAGACACAAGCATGGCCTTGATCCTGGTGGGGAGGAGGAAACATACTGAAAACTACCAAAGGAAAAAATTACTTCATGAATGTCAAAGGATACATTTTTAAAAGTCATTTTTAGCCCCAAAGAATCTTTTGAAACAATAACAACTATGACATGACTCTGTATAAAATGTATTATGCTAAATACACATTAAGAAAAATTCACATACAAAGAAATGAAAATGTAATTGGATTTGTCATTTTGAAGTATTAATATTGGGTTTGTAGATAATAGAGAATGACAATCTCCTAAGCGAATAAAGAAGGTAGCCAAGTAAGTAAATGCTGCATTTCTACTGTAAGGAAATACGTGCACCAATGAAGCAACCTTTCCAGCACAAAAGAAATTTAATACCCAGACCACATGAAAAGTGATCACTATGGGAATAGCACAGCTGTTAAAATCCAAGTCAGTTTTTATTAAATCGTCCAACATGTTTATGTAAAGCAGGACTCTCAGAATAATCACCAAGAGGAAATAATTTTGCTAACAAAAAAGTGATACCTGTATTTAATTTAAAGCTTACAATAAGTGTGAAAGAAAAATGCTAAGCTATTCTCTTTTAAAGTATATAAGGAATGCCCAGTTAGTTGGTATGCTTGTGATTCTTTTATAAACAGTATCTCAAAGGCTAATTTAATTAGAAATAGAACAAAAAAGAATGAGTGTTTGCATTTCACTTAAAGAACCCAATTATCTTTATTTCATTGACTAGCCAGACCAACATAAAGCTATAGAACACCTTCTGGCACCTGGGCCAAATGATTTCAGTATGAAAATTAATACTGCCAAGTTATTTGGAGACCAGTTAGCTCAACCATTCAAAGAAAAAAAAAATCTGCTCCACTAAAGATGTAGTATATAATCCTAAAACTTGCATTTCTGAAGATGGAGGTGCATGCAGACAGACATCCTTGAGGCCCTGGCTTGAGCAGATATATCTTAAAGGAAACTACAGAAAGAATGGGTTCATGGGTAACTACTGACGAAGTCTAAGCCTGAAATCTCAACATAGGCACTTGGGATGCATAATAAAATAGGCTTAATTTACTTTGGAAGCAAAAAGAAAATAATTACTCTAAATTTTTGAGCATCTAAATGTAACCAAATTTATCAACATTGCTTGTCAATTCTACATTCAGTTTTTTAGAGAAACTGGTCAGGATTGTGCTTCCCATAAAATATAGCCCAAGTACAGTTTTCAAAGGAAGCTTGTCAACTCAGAATAGAGAAAAACGTCCCTAAAATTCTCTTTCTTCCACAGTGGCAGACGATGAAGGCTACACAGAAAAATAGTCCCAAATTATAACTGAGAAGCCACAGTTGGGGATTAGTGGCCAACAACATTATTTTGTATAGTACTTCAACATGAAAATCTTTACTTATCAGCAATCATGAGCCTTAAAAGCCCAGGTCAAGTCACTGGGCATTAGAAGTCTGAAAGGGACACTTGAAAGGAAATCAGCTATCACATACAGTGTACATGTAAAAGTCACTCAGACGGTATCTGAAAGCCTATTAAAACATGAGATGCCATCACTGTAGTTTTGCGATATATCAGCCGTTTCCCATTATGATGGCTAACATACTGGCTCTATTTTTAGAGCTTCTGGAAAGATCAAAGCTGAAGAGGCCCTTTTAGTGGCTCCCCATCCAGACCCCTAATCTCTGTTTACTTTTTCTTTGTAATTATGTGGATCTGCAGAAGACGCATAGCCAGGGCTGCCTCACTCTCAGAGTAATGCTTTAAAAAATTGCTCTGTGAGGGTCCCTGCTAGGAGGGAACCCTCTGGGGAGGAACAAAGAGCAGTAAAGTTCAAATTCAAGACAAAATTAGCATGATGTAAGTATTGATACAGAGTTGAAATATTCTAACTTGTCTCCCTACACATTTTCTCAGGCTGGTTTTAAACCACTGTGAGAATGAATACACATCCATGAAAACAAAGTCCTTTCTGAGTGCTTAGACCCCACCCTTCCCCCACAAAAAGCTCTTAGTTGGTTTCAATGGCTCTAGCTGGTGAGGCTGTGGTCAAATGTTGACCCGCTCACTTTTAAAAACAAGTCCCTCCAATACAAAATGACTTACTTTGGAAGAACAAGCTGTACATTTGTCAAATGCCAGGCTGACGGGAAGGACATTATCAAACCGTGACAGAAATCCCCGGATCTAAAAACAAAACAAAACAATTCACATCAAACACACAATGACCACATCTATGAAATGCATGTCTGGTTTCTGACAAGAAGTAGGAAATGATTAATATGGCGGCCCAGATAGAGATTATGAGCAAAATAAGTTCGAAATAAGTATTTTCCCTTGTAATCAGTTTGCAGAAGAACTACATTAAGTTCTTTACTCCATTAGGAGCCAGGGCTTACAAGCTTTTCAAATATTTCTGACCTAAAAACAAACTGACTGTAAAATACAAAATGCAAGCTGTAGTATCTAAAGTATTAACAAATGTCTTCCAAAATGTAACAGGTCCACTGGTATACTCAACAATTAGCTCCCACGTGTGTTCTAGTGAATATGGGATAAATACACATTTCTACGACATGATTTTGGGTGGGGTCTCACAAGGAAAGACGGCTTGGGGACTGTGGAAGGCAGAAATAGCCCTAAGCATATATCCAGTTATTTGCTTAATTTGGAACAGACAGAGATAAAATGTAAAACATCATCAGATTTATGGGGAAACAGCACCACCTTGAGCATAAACTTCTGGACTACAACTGAGTTACATTTCCAGAGTACCAGCTATAATTAGGTTTCACAAACTATGATTGTAGTAATTTATTCAGAACATTATACCTCTATATACTATACTTACACCAAAGGGGGAGTTTTAAGCTGTTCTATATATCATAAAAATACGAATGGTAAAATCTCTGAAGTCTCCATAGGACTCAACGTTTACAATCAACAACACAAATCTTATGAGTTAATTTATTTGACCTTTCAAATTCCCCATTTTATGTTGAAAAACCTCAGGCTCAGGAAGAGTGGCAACTTGGCTCAGGTAAACAGTAAGTAAGGGAGCCAAGACTCAAAAATGGACCTCCTGATGCAAATCTGGCCCAGGTCTGAACTTCCCTCCCTCTCAGAATATCACAGCGTTTGTCTTCAACACTAGGTCTCCTCACAACTTTAACACTCTCACTTGAATAGAACAAAAAACCCTATCTACCACCCTTTAGCCATCCTTTTAACACCATGCCCTTTCCCTCAAACCCCCACCCCCCAAAACACAAACAAAAAACTTGACAAACTCTTTAAAGAAAAAGGCTTTCTGAGTTTTGGATAACTCCATCCTGATGTTCACACTATAATAGTGTTGTTTGCACATACTTATCTCAGGAAAAAAATCTAACCTGGAAAAAAATGCCTACGGTATTTTTTTTATTTTTATTTTTTTTCTGAGATGGAGTCTCGCTCTGTCGCCCAGGCTGGAGTGCAGTGGTGTGATCTCAGCTCACTGCAACCTCTGCCTCCCAGGTTCAAGTGATTCTCCTGCCTCAGCCTCCCAAGGAGCTGGGGTTACAGGTGCGTACCACCACACCCAGTTATTCTGTATTTTTAGTAGCGATGGGGGTTTTGTCATGCTGTCCATGGCATGTCCAAACTCCTGACATCAGGTGACCCACCCGCTTTGGCCTCCCAAAGTGCTGGGAGTACTGACATGAGCCACTGTGCCCTGCCCGATTTTTAAATGTCCTTATTAATATGCTATGTGTTTTTTAATGCAATCCAAGATCAAATGTTTGATAGAAATGATAAATTTGGGCCAGGCGGTGGCTCATGCCTGTAACCCCAAAACTTTGGGAGGCCGAGGCAGGCAGGTCACCTGGGGCCAGGAGTTCAAGACCAACCTGGACAACATGGCAAAACCCCATCTCAACTAAAAATACAAAAAAACTTTGCTGGGTGTGGTGGTGGGCGCCTGTAATTCCAGCTACTCGAGAGGCTGTGGCAGGAGAATCACTTGAATCCGGGAGGCAGAGGTTGCAGTGAGCTGAGATCATGCCATTGCATTCCAGCCTGAGTGACAGAGTGAGACTCCATCTCAAAAAAAAAAAAAAAAAAGACATTTGGTAACTGGTATAAGTTAGATAGCCTCATTATAAACATATGAAAATATGACAACCTTTTAGTTCCTAATATCTCAGGAATGTGGTAACCATTTCATAATCCATGGCTTGAGCCATAATCAGGGTCATAAGTTTGCTATTCAGGACACCAAAACAGGAGACATCAAAATAGCAGAAAAGAGTTTAATAGCAAGTCACAAATGGGAACGCTGAAATTTTCATGAGCTCTGGAAGTTACAGGCTTGAGAATACTTATAGTGAGTCTCCTCTATACCCCAATTACTTTTATATTAAGTTTACTTAGAAAAGAACTTTATCACATTTAGCATATTTTTCCATTAAAGTTTTTAACATGGCCTACATGTCATGTGTCCATCTATGTTTCATGGAAAGGTTTCTGCATGCTGTTTTCTCTAATACGGTTTTCATCAAACTTTCTTTATGTTGCACAAATACTGGTAATTTTCTCTGATACTGTCTTACTATTGGAGGTGAGCAGGTAAAGCTGAGGGACAGGGAGAAAGTACATCCAGTTGGGGTAGAAAGGAAGAGAGGAAATAGAGAAGGGAAGAGAAAAATAACAACAACAACACAGGTGGCGAGGAATAGAACAAAAAGGAGATGCCGTGCACGGGATTGGTTGAGTGAGGGTCCAAACACCACTGTTCAGCAGCCCCAGACAGTTCTTTACTAGGAAACAGATTTATTTACCCAGAAAATGAAGTAGAATAATATTTGTGTGAGGACTTTCAAATTCACCAAGTTGGTATCAGAAGGCCCAGAATTTAACCAAAATAATTCCAGTTTTAGATAATTTAGGACAGGAAGCCCTTCTTCTCAACCCTACTGCAAGAGACTCCTAAGGGGGTACTTCCACAGGTGGGCTCTCTCCCTTCTAGCTAATGCAAAGACTGAGCTGTCAATTTTCCTAATACACAACTCTGAGGCCTATCGTTTTTTACCCACTCCCTATAGCTGACAAAATAAGACAGAATTCCTTGCACTCCAAGGTCCCTCTGCTCTGGGCACGGCTCACCTTTCCAATTAAATTCTGGATTGAATTTTTCACAAACTCTGTACAACTGCTAAGCTGAACTACAACTTCCCTCCCAAAGATATTCTTGATTTCCTGAGCTTGCCTCATGCTGAATTCTGTGACTCAAAACTCTTCCTTTTGGTAACAGCTACATATCTAAGTGTTCACCTTCCTTAAAAACCACTCAGCTCAAACACACCTCGTTCACAAATTCTCAATCTACCACCCAACCTAGAAATAATATCTCTACCCTCTGAAATCCTTCTTTTGATCTTTATGCCCAAAATGCCTTGAGGAATAGTTTTGGGAGTTTAAAATTCATAACAGGCTTGAGATATAATACACATACCATAAAATTCATCTTTTAAACTGTACAGCTCAGTGGTTTTTAGCATATGAACAGTTTTGCAACCATCATCACTATCTAATTTCAGAACATTTTCATCACCCCCAAAAGAAACCCAGCAATTAGTCCTCATTCTCCCCTCTTCTCAGACACTGGCAACCACTAATCTACTTTGTTTCTCTTGTTTTATCTATTCTGCTTATTTACTATAAATGAAACCACAAATGACTGGCTTCACTTAGCATATTTTCATCCACATTGTATCATATGTCAGTATTTCATTCCTCTTTACTGCCAAATAATATTGAATTGTGTCACTATACCACATTTATTTAGCAATTCATCAGTAGATGTGCATTTCTCTTGGGAATATACGTAGGCGCAGAATTACTGGGTCATATGACTGTTTAACGTTTTGAGGAACTGCCAACTTGTTTTCCAAAGTGACCATATCATATTAAAATCTTGGCCGGGCGTAGTGGCTCACACCTGAATCCCAGCACTTGGGAAGCTGAGGCAGCCAGACCACAAGGTCAGGAGTTTGAGACCAGCCTGGCAAACATGGTGAAACCCCATCTTTAGTAAAAATACAAAAATTAGCCGGGTGTTGTGGTACGTGCCTGTAATCCCAGCTACTCGGGAGGCGGAGGCAGGAGAATTGCTTGAACCCGGGAGGCAGAGGTTGCAGTGAGCCGTGATAACGCCATTGCACTCCAGCCTGGATGACAGAGCAAGACTCCATCTTGGGAGCAGGGGGAAAAAAAAAATCTCACCAGCCAAGTGTGAGGGCTCCAATTTCTTCACTTCCTTGTCAACACTTGTTATTATCTCTTGTAGATTATATGTGAATATGAAACAGCATCTAACTATGGTTTTGACTTGCATTTCTCTAATGACTGGTAATGTCAAGCATCTTTCCATGTGCTTCTTGACCATTTGTGTATCTTCTTTGGAGAAATGTCTATTCAAATCATTTGCCAAGTTTTAAACATTTTTTAAATTGCTGAATTGTAAGTTTGTTACATATTTTGGATAAAGGTTTCTTACCAAATATATCATCTGCAAAAATATTCTCCCATTCTGTTTTTTCTGTTCATTTGTTTGATACAGCATCTTGCCCTGTTCTCCAAGCTGGAGTGCAGCAGTGTGATCTCGGCTTACTCTAGCCTTGAACTCCTGAGCTCAAGCGATCCTCAGCCTCTCCAGTAGCTGCGACTACAGGCACACACCACCACACTCAGCTAATTCTTTTGGTTTTTTTTTTTTTTTTTTTAAAGAGAGATGAGGTCTCGCTATGTTGTCCATGCTGGTCTTGGACTCAGGGCTCAAGCAATCCTCCCACCTTCGCCTCCCAAAGCATTAGGATTTCAGGCATGAGCCACCATGCCCAGCCTTTTTTTTTTTTTTTTTCTTCTTCTCTTGAAGCACAACAGTTTATTTTAGTGAAGTCCTACTTACCATTTTTTCTTACATTGATTGGTCTTTTGGCATCTTACATAAGAAACCATTGTCTAACCCAAGGTCATAAAGATTTATGATATTTTCTTCTAGGAATTTTTACAGTTTTAGCTCTCACATGATGTCTATGATCTATTTTGAGTTAATTTTTTAATATGGTATGAAATAAAGGTCTAAATTCATTCTTTTGCATATGGAATCCTGTTGTCTCCGTACTATTTGTTGAAAACAGTATTCT